ATCATATAGCTGTTTTTATAATTATAATAACTTTAATATTTTTGATTAAGATAGAAAGAAAGAAATAATTACTTAAGGAGTGAATGATGAGTCCATTACTTTATAAAATCCTAAGTATGTTTAATCATGCATAGCAATAAAACAAGTATTACAGTTTTTTACAGAAAAAAATGTATTTTATCTTGCTTTGATTTACTTAATAAGAGGATAAGTAAGGATAGATTTTAGGTTACTTGGAGAATCTTTAGTGACTTAAATTTTATATAATGAAGAAACAACAAAGTATATTTCTTAATTGAGTTAGAAACTAAATATTTTTGTAAAACCTGTAGAAATATAAGCTTAATTTTATAGTATAATATAATGGTTAAAGTAAATTTATTTTTGAAATTTTATTTTTACTAAAACGAGTGAGCTAAGTGTTTGTACTATATGAATAAACAAATACAGCTGATTATTCAAAGTATCCAGTGTAGTATGGTATTAAAAATTATTGACTTTCTTCCAAATGATACCATCCATTAGTTGGATTTCCTGGTAGTTAAAGAGTAAAAGGTTTTTTGATATTAGCAAAGCTAAAAGAATCAAATGTATTTGTATTCTAATTATAGACAAAATTTAAATCTATTCTATAAATAAACCAATAGCTACTTATGTATAAACTGCCTTAATTATTTTAAGAATTTATAAAGCTTAAACTGACTATATTATCTCCTGAACCAAGCGGTAGACCTATTTTTTTAAATTTTAAGAAATTTATAATGAAAATTATTAATATATTTAATCTACAATCAGTCTTGATTAATTTTATCTAATTCGATTATAAATTAATGACCTAGAAAGCATTGATTTGACAATAGACTCCTGCTAAAAATATAATATCATAACTCTTGTGGAAATCTATATAGTTATAATTATAACCTATAAAATAAAATAGAGTGAAATATTATTCTTTAAAAGACTTAAAAAATTAGATATACCTACTTGCGAATAATATCCATTGAATGAGAATTATAAAGTTTTAAAATCAATTGACCAAGTATAAGCACCATAATAATCAATTACTGCTATAAAATTCTAACCATTTGAAAGCTAAAGTATTTTTGCAGAACAAATATGATTACTAGAGTCAGAATTAAAAGGTAAAATATTCAAAGATAGAATTTATTTTCCTTCTATAAAGTCAACAACATATAATAAATATGTTGAACTTTTTAAGACACAATAATTAGATCCTTTCATGAAATGCATACTTTCTAAATTACTGAATGGTAGTGTTTATTAAGATTCAAGAGTATAAGGATCTGCGTATATTAGCTATTCTGAATTCAGAACTAAAATTTGATTTCTTTGTAGTACATACTCCATTTGAGATATAACGTATTTAGCTTTAATAAAATAAAAATTGTTTTAAAAAAGTATAAACTATTTATTTAAATTTACTCTTAATCACATTCACAATATTATCAATTTCACTAGAAAGATCATTGTAATATACTATACTCTAAGACTCCTAACCGTTTTAATAAAGTACAGTGTTTATCAAAAGTATATTAGTGTTAGGCAACTTCAAATAACTAGAAACAATATAGTCCTCAAAAAATCTAGGCTCTGTTTTTAAAAATTTATATCTTAATGAATTAAAATATTAATTTAATCTTACGGTGCTGCCTAGAAAATGCTTAACATATTTAAGCATTTAAGTTTTGTATTGATTACAATAAGATTATGACTGTTAAATTCAAAGTAAAGAATGATTTACTCATACTAATAGATATTTTTTCAACCTTCTATAATTACTATTTTTAATTCAAATATAGGTTTTGAGATAAGATTATTGAATTATTTCGTGGAGAGTTTTTTAAATAACTTCAAATGTTGATTAATTATTATTTTTGATATTTCTTATTCTTTTCTTTTTTTCTTATATCTCAAATTTATGATTTAAATGTACACTTCTATTATTGAAATTAATCTAAAAAAACTAAAAAATATTCTTTCAATCTTCTTTTATTCTATTTTTAATTCAAATATAGGTTTTGAGATAAGATTATTGAATTATTTCGTGGGGAGTTCTTTAAATAACTTCAAATGTTAAATGTTGATTAATTATTATTTTTGATGTTTCTTATACTTTTCTTTTACTATTTTTAATTCAAATAAAGGCTTTGATATAAGATTATTGAATTATTTCGTGGGGAGTTCTTTAAATAACTTCAAATGTTAAATGCTGATTAATTTTGATTATTGATGTTTCTTATTCTTTTCTTCTTAATCTCAAATTTATGATTTAAATGTACACTTCTATTATATAAATTTATCTAAAAAAACTAAAAAATGTTCTTTCAACCTTCTATTATTACTATTTTTAATTCAAATATAGGTTTTGAGATAAGATTTTATATGAATTATTTCGTCAGAGTTTATTAAATAACTTCAAATGTTTATCTATTATTATTTTTGATGTTTCTTATTCTTTTCTTTTATCTACGATATATATCTAGAAAGCTACCTCTAATAACAATAAAGTACTATCCTCAAAATTATTAATATAAAAAATTTAAAGTAATTGTTTTTAAATTACTTAAGTATAAAATAATTTTTACCATTTTAATTTTATAATTTTAAACTTTAATATCACTTTCAAAAAATAATTCAGACATAAATATTATTGATAAAGTAAATTCAAATTTATAAAAATTTGAATTACTGAATGCTTATTTTTAAATGGATTTTTGATAGCTTCATTAAATTAAATATATGTTTCTATAATTTAAAAAAATTTGTCAATTCAAAATGACGGTTACACTAATATATTAATTATATTAAAAAAAAATAAAATGAATCAATTAATTATTATAATATTTTAAAATTCATTTATAATCTTTAAAGAACAAATATTTAGAATTATTTTTATATTTAATTAGTTTCATTCTTTTCTTTCTATATTGGGATTAAATATGATCTAATAAGAATCAAAATAATATTTTGACTTTCATTTTCTATTCGTACTATCAAGGTTTTAGTTTATGTTTAATATATTTGTTTGAAATAATTACTGTTTAACTTTTTAGATGTCTTTACTGCTTGGCTGTGTAGATTATAAACTATGACTACTCTTGTAAATGCTTTAAGAAAAAACAGAGTTCCTTTTTCTTCTATTTATTTACCAATTTATTTATTTTTAAGAATTAATTTGTGGCTGGCCTTGTACATTAGGAGTTTGATAGATAATACTAATTGATTATATTTCTTCGTTATTTTCTAAATTCTTATCCAGATTGTTATTATTAACTATATTTTAATCCATTTTTTGTTAAGTTATACAGGTGAGGATTTTTAGATAGCTGGTTATATACTTAAATCCAGAGCATTTTTTACAAGTCCAGCCATTTACACTTAAAGAATTTTAAATTAAAAATTAAAAACATTTAATTGATTAAAAAATATTCTGGAATTGTTCTATTAATCAAAAAAATAAAAAAGTGAGCTTGGCTTTTTTTTTTTGATTGATAAAAAATAAAAATTAAGAGCTCCCTTTTTTATTTTTTTGATTAATAGAACAATTCCAGAATATTTTTTAATCAATTAAATGTTTTTAGTTTTTCATTTAAAATTCCTAAAGCATTTAATGGCTGGGCTTGCGAAAAATGTATGGGATTTAAGTATACCTAAGATTTACTCTTTTTATTTTTAATATACATTACTAGTGATTTAACTAAATAGATACTACGAGATCTTTAATAATAAAAATAGTAAAATATGCTATTAAAAATCCACTAATAGCAACAAGTATCCATCCAATTTTCATTCTTGTATCTTCGTTTTTATCTTAACTATCGTTAACTAACAATGAAGCACACATTTAAATGGTTATCATTAAAATTTCCTAATAATCTACCACATCTGATAAAGATGCTTGCTTTAACATCAATTTCATAGCAAAAATTTTATTTTTAATTAGAGAAAACACCTAATTATTTGAATGAAAACTCATCTTAGTTTTTTTATATTTTAAAGAATAAAGCAAAAATATTTATTAAGAATAACTAAATATTAGAGGATATAAACAAAGTACATAAGATATAAATAAAAGTGAAAGTTAAACAAATCTAGATTAACATCAATTTAATCTTATAAGCGAAAAAAATAAAATTTTTGAAAATTTCTAATAGTGTTTAAAGCAAGTAAATATATAATAGATATCTTATTTTATTTCTGATAAAACCCCTAATTATTTTGATTAAGAAATAAAGCAAAGTGAATTAAATACTTCTAATTCATTGGTTTAAGATGAGAATTTTGAATAAAATAGATAATTTTAGTAATAAAATACAGGAAATGTAAGATTTTTAACTCCACAACTAACTGCTCAAAGCTCTGCAAATTATGAAACTTTTTCTTATCAGATTGGCGATTAATTTATAAAATTTCCTCATTTTGTTAACAATACTGAAACAATCAATACCAATAAATAGATTTTAAAAACCACTATCTAACTAACACCATTCTTGTTAAAGCAATAACAATTTTAGTTAGCAAGTAAACATTTTTAAATAAAAATTTTTATTAATTTAAAAAATATATAGTAATAGGTTTAAATAATCAATAATTAGAGCAACTTGAAAGAAACAAATTAAGATAAAATTTATCACATACTTTTATAAATTAAGTAGGTATCAATCAATTAGTTATAAAATAATAGCTCACTATATAATCTCAGTAAACTAGAGCCAATAAGTATCTTGCTAATAACTCAGAAAAGAGTGTTGATACTACGTGCTCAACTTAAAATCCTTTAATTCTACAAAGTTAAGAATTTAGTAAGAATAAATTATATTTTGATGAAAAAAATGGCAATAGTATTTAATTAAGTAAGGAACTAAATAAATCAATGCGGATAAAAATTTAGCTTAGAAAATATCTATTTATAACAACAGTAGCAGAATAATAAAATAAATGAATTCAAATTTTCAAATTTAAATGACAAATTAAATTAAATGAATAGTGCATTTTAAGGCTTAATTAAAAAATTAGCTCTTGAAAACAATGAAATCAATGAATAAATTTTAAAATCTTTGTCACAAATTTCCACCACATCAAAATAACTCGACGAACGGAGCAATAACACATTCACCTCTTCTGGAAAAGTTTTAATTACAAACCCAAGCGATGCTAGCATGGCTATTGTAGAAAATTAGAATTTTTTTACACTTTGAAACAAATCCTTATACAAACAATCCTAGCTAGAATATAAACAGTAAAAATCAAAACTAAATTTACTAATAAAACTCTCACTAGCATTTTTCTATTGACAATATAAATGGAATAGATTTTAATTCATCTTAATGCTGCTTCTAATAAGAATTAAATGAAATAGAGTTAAGAAACAACTTAATGCATCAATAGTTTGATAAGCAGCATAAAATAAAAGTATATAAGAATATTTAAAAAACATGAAATCATGTGAGTAAAATGAGGTAGAAAAATAAAACATATAATAAAACATTTCAAATAATAATGATATAAATTATTACTAATAAAAAGAGCTAATAGATTAAGAAATATATAGGCAGTAGTAAGAATTATAAGAAATTCTTTTCTAATAAAATAATTCTATACTAACTAGTATCAGTAAATTTAAAACTGAATACTAAGAATTGTAAAACGATGTCAATATACGAAATAAAGTTAAAAAACTTGAATAGTTATTAGCTAAAACAGAAGATTCTAATCATTAATAAGAATAAAATCAAAAAAGAAAGTTTTCTGGTTCAGAAAAAGAAAATAGTTAATTAAATCTTTAGTAAATTGAATAACTCACATTAATTTCAACCACAATAGTAATAGCAAAAATAAATATTACAAACCAAAACAAATTTTGAAGATTAAAAGTTTGATTCTTATATTTAATGCCTTTCAATATAATTATCATAAAAAGAGAGAGATGTTGCTGATCTACAATTAAATTTAGCAGATAAGGAAGTTTAAATATCAGCACTCTAATTAAAAAATAATATCTAATAACTTTAAAATGAATAAATGAAGTAACAGCTTGAAAAGGCATTAAGTATTATTGAAAACATTTAACTATTATCTAGCAATTTCGCAAAGTTAAGACAATAAAAATTTAAGCAAGTAAAAAAGAATTTTAGCTAACCAGTTAAACAAAATGAAAAATTAAATACAAATTGTTAGAAAAAAAACTCATTAAAAAATATAATTTTATATTTTAAAATGTTAATTTAAAATTAATTAGTTATTTATCACTCAAATAAATTTATAATTTTAACAAACTTTAATTTAGTTTACATTTTTAAAAGATATATTTAATGTAAATATTTATTGTATGTTTGTTTATTTGTTTATTTATAATTTTAACTCATTATTTAAGAAAAAATATATCTTGAATAACTTTATCAAAATTTGTTTATTAAAATAACAAAAAATTTAGGAGAAAAGTAAATTTAGTTAAATTTTTACTATAAAAAGAAAGAATAATAGATATTTTTTGTTATTCTAATTAATACATTTAATCAAAAACACTTTCAAGAAAAAGAAACTGAACAAATCAATTTTCAAATAAGTATTTATATGTTTGATGAAGAACTAAAATAGCATATTTTTTATAAGAAATAAACTAATTAGTGATTATTATTTGATAGATATTCTTTTCAAATGTAATTTAATTATACTTCGATATAAAAATTAGCTTTAAATTTGGTTTTATATTTATGGTTTATTATTTTTGAATTAGCTCATCAACCTCATTTAAATTTTTGTTTCTTTATTGCTAAATTAAATTATTAAGAAATATTTATTATCTCAAATATATTTTTTGCAGAAACTGAATTTTGAAACAGGTTTTGTATAACACTTCTAACTAAATTATTTTACATTTAAGAGTTATCTTTAAACAGATCAATCAAGATATCTATTTATTCTTCTAACTACTTCTTTTCTTATTATTCTTTTTCTACTAAATTTTTAATATTTTAAAGAAGACAATCTCTATCATTAAATTGTAAAATAAATTATAATATTAAAGGTGAAAGAATTTCAACAATACTATCACCTATAACAATACATTTATAAATTGATTAGTCCACATCAGAAACGCCATTTATATATCCATATTTTATCAAAAGTTTTTTTAAGTTGATAATTTTTTCGATTTTCCTTACTTGTATTGACTTAAAATTGTACTTTTGTATTTCGCTTTATATTTGTATATTTTTTTCTTAGTTAATGTTGTTCATCTATGAACAAATGTTATTTTATTACTTATGCATTTAGTTGTTTTTATCATTATCAAACTGGTTTTGATTTCGACAGTTTTTTTATTAATTTTGCATTTTAATTTGATAATTATCCTTTATGATATTTAGTTGATTCTAGTTTTTGTTTTACTCAGCAAAATAAATTTATTAATTATTGAATTGATCTTTCTATACATTTTAAATGATTGACCATTAAGACTAATATAATCCTTTTCCATAAGAATCAATAAATGAAAATGAAAAATCATTTTGATTTTAATATGAGATTTGTTAAAGAATATTATTTTATATTTATATTAATTCAGTTTATATTTATTTAAAATCAGGTCTTTTTTTAGGATCTTTTAAAAGGCATCTTATGACCAATTTACTTACATCTTAAAATCTCTCTTAAAATAAAAGTTAATCAATTTTGTTATTATAGTGAATGAGTTAATTAAAGATCTATTTTTAATCACCTTTAAATATTTACTTGCAAGTAAACATTTCATATAAAATTAATCCAAAAGACCAAACGTCTATTTTATCGTCATATACTGAGCCTTTGTTGTTAGCAAATAGTATTTCAGGAGCCATAAAATTTGGTGTTCTTACAATTGATTTTAAATCTCTTTATACCTCTTTAGTTAGTCCATAATCTGATATTTTAGCTATAATTTTTTCTCCATCATTATGGATCAATATATTTTCAGGCTTTAAATCTCTATGCTCTAGGTTTAGTTCTTTTAATATCATCATGCCTTTAGTAATTTAAATTGCAATATCTATAACTTCTAGTGCTTATTCCAAAGTCTAAACTTCTTATTATTTTTTAATATGATAAGTGTAGAGATCCCCTTCATTGCAGTATTCAATCACTATGAATTTCATTTTTTCCGTTTCACTACTTTAATCATAAATTTTGACTAAATTTTCTAAGTTTTCAGAATATTTATCTTAAATCTTTTTTAAGACTTCATAATCTACTTAAAACCTTTATTTAAAAGAATAATTTTAGCGTTTACCATAAATCAAGCTACCAAAAAATATAAAAAATTATGTATTACTTGAATCCTTAAAGTATTCTTTAATTACTACCTGCTATTAATTTTTTAAATCAATAGCAAAAAATATTTACGCCTATCCTCCTTATATTATGGTATTTTTATTTTTTTAGTATGTACTCTTTTATCCTACGAAAATTCTATTTTACATTTATAATTTAATAGATTTACTATTTTTATTATATTTATCTAAATTTAATAATAATAATAACTTTATTAAACCTCCTCCTTCATATAACAAAAAAGGCATCAAATAAATTAATTAATAAATAAATAAATAAAACTATTTTATATTTAATCTGCCAATTTAAATTTATTTTTCTTAATTAGCTTAAATTCATCCACATATTATTGATATCTAAAATAAAATAATTTAATTGGAGCTCTTAGACTAAATACTTTATGTATCCATCAAAATAAATTATTTAGGTTAAAATATATTTAAATTGTCTTCTGTCCTTTAAAAAAAAACATTTGATTCTTACCCTCTAATAAAATAATTAATCATGAAAATAGTTTTTAGAATTCAAAAGAAATATTTAAAAGGAGAGTAAAATTTTTTTATTTTTAAGTGATTAAAATAATCATTAAAAATTTATATGCAAATTTGATTTGCAGATAGTAGATAAATAAATACCTTACATAGGCATGTATTTATTAATAAAATTCTTTTAATTGTAGTTATTTCATGTAATAATTGTAAATATAATGACTTTTAAAAGATATAAAAATGACTGATAGATAAATCAATAAAAGTTATATAATTATCTATGGTTTATTGGTAAAATTTTCATAACACTAATAAAATAATTTGCTATTTAAATATACTTAATTATTAAAACTTATTAAATACCAAATTTAATACGTGTTTAGAGAAGATTATTAAATTTTTTATATTCAGCATATTCATTCATTATAAATATTCAAATCTTTTATTTAATTAATATCTAACTATTTTTAAATCAGTTTTTGTTTTGTTTATAAAAATCAATAAAAACTTTACATTATCAATCTATAAAAGTTTTGCAAATAAAATATAAAAGAAGCTATATAAATAGGAATATTAAGTAATGTCAGCCGAAGTTAAAGCATAATTAGCAGAATCTCTTAATTCTATTCATGATACTTACTAACTTAAATTAAAGACTTTGTAATTAAGATATCAATCTTCATTTGATGAATTGAGTAAATTATAATATTGAATTCATAATTTATAATCAAATGTCAATAAATAATGTTTAAAATTTATGTAAAAGCTAGCTTAAGGTTTTATTTGTGTTATGCAATCTTTTGATAATAAGATATTTTAATTTACCGCTTCAACTAAATTTGAATTTTCAACAAAGTTAGCTTATTTATCATTAAAATTTATTTTATTTTCAAGAATCAGGCATAGAAAATTTAGAAAAATAAGTAGAGGGATATTTGGCTCAAGACAGCAATTCTGGTGATCAAACTAAATCACAATTTAATTTGAACTCTTCATTACAATCTTCATGTAAATTTATTTTTATAATATAGAGTTTGTAATTTTTTATTTATAAATAAAATAGCTTTATAATCTACTTAATATATTACCAATTTAGGAAGCACATTAGGTATTTCAAACATAACTACTACCTAATAAAATAAATGAAAATTAAACTTTATAAATTTTAAACTATATATTTAAGTTTATATCATTCAAATTTAATTTAATTTTTAATGAATTATTAATAAAACTATTTAGAAAATTAAAGTTTTAATTTGATATTTTTGTTATGTTTCTATTATGTTAATTATTTATATATTAAATTAATTTAAAAAAAAAACTAAACCCAAAATAATATTAAATATCAGTATATTTTTGGAAAAAATAAAATAATAAAAACAATTTAATTTTTTTGTCTTTTTAAGTAATATTTCATAATATATTTATTTTAAATTCAATAAATAATATTCTGAAATAAAAATAATTAGTTTTTTATTTTACTTACAGTACAAATAAAGCTTAATATTTAATATAAATATATTATTAATAGGGAAAAATGAACTTTAAAATTGAAGAATCTTTTTAGTTAAAAACAAAATATAAAATAATATGTATTATTAATATTTAATAATAATTTTCTAACATATTATCTATTTCATATTCAGTAAAATAAATTAAATTATTATCTATCCTCTTGGTTAACAGAATTTAATTTTATTTATTCATTAGAGTTATCCTCTTTATCTTTTTAACTCTCTTTCTAATCCATTTCTATATTTAATTCTTCGAATCCTAATATTTAATTAAAAAATTTTATGATTAAAAAAAAACTATTATATATATTACATTAAAAAAGAGGAGATTAGTTTTTCTAGCTGCTATATACAGTATTTGGGTTATTTTCATTATCTTTATCAATGTAATCGTATTCAGAGTTTAATTTGTGTTAATTTTCAATAGCTAAGTATTTTTGTTTTAATTTTATTAATGTATTAGAGTTATCCTCTTTATCTTTTTAACTCTCTTTTTAATTACTTACTAAATTTAAATCTTCAAATTCTAATATTTAATTAAAAAATTTAATGATTAAAAAAAACTATTATATATATTACATTAAAAAAGAGGAGATTAGTTTTTCTAGCTGCTATATACAGTATTTGGGTTATTTTCATTATCTTTATCAATGTAATCGTATTCAGAGCTTAATTTGTATTAATTTTCAATAGCTAAGTATTTTTTTTTTAGTTTTATTAATTTATTAGTGTTATCATCTTTATCTTTTTAACTCTCTTTTTAATTACTTACTAAATTTAAATCTTCAAATTCTAATATTTAATTAAAAAATTTAATGATTAAAATAAAACAAATAAAAATATTACATATAAAAATAGGAGACTAGTTTGTCTTGCTGGTATTTACAGTATTTGGGCTATTCATATTATTTTTACGAAAATAATCGCTTTCAGAGTTTAATTTTTGTTAATTTTCAGTAGCTAAGTCATTTTGTTTATTTTATTTAATAGTCTAATTAATCTACTAATCTTTAAATAGCCTTTTATGATTTTTACCTATAAATTAAATATATTAAATATAACAAATAAAAAGAGTTTTAATACCTATTTATATCTTAACACCAGATAATAAAAGATCATACTTTTTCTCTTCACTAAGATTTAAAAATTCTTAAAAAATTCTTTTTATTTTAGCTTTCAATTACGGATTAAATTTTTATTTTTGAAACTTTTGAACAAGTGACTTTGTATAAGAAAATTTTTAAAAAAATGAAATGATAACATTCTTAAATTACATTAAAAGTCCTATAATAACTCTTTTAATTATTACAATAATAAACCAAGCATTGATTGTGATTATAATTATAATAGAAGTGATTACATAATAACTGAAGGGATTATTGCTAATGAATAAACAAAGTAATACAGAAATTGAACACACGTTTGTTTGATAGAAATCAACTGTATTGTACCCGCTCAAACGATAGGGTTATAAAACATTAGATCCTATCCCATAGAGAGTAATCACCAAAAAAATTAACACTCCTTTAATATTAGTATCTTGGGAATAGAAGTTAAGAATTATAATGATTAAAATTTTTTCTAAAATTTTCACGAATTCCCAATAATATTTTTGGCTTTTATACTCTCTGTATAAAAAGCCATATTTCTTATATACTTAAATGTTTTGCAAATCATTTTTATTTTTGTATAGTATATAAAAAAGTCCAATAGGTATAATAAAAGCAAACACTAATAAGCAAGGAGCTACTAAGGTAGAACTATAGGTTTAGTGCTGGCTAGTGTTGCATTCATAAGTTATATTATAAAGTATATAACTAGAATCTCCAATTACCCTGCATGAAAGAATAGCTATCATTTGAGAAACTAAATCAGGCTAAACTAAAATAAATATAAAGATCGCAGCAGTACAAATAGAATAATAACGAACTTTTATATTTGTAAATAGCCTTTATAAAATTAAACTAAGTATAAACACCATTAAATAGCCAATTGGAACACTTAGAGTAAATAGTAGTTTAAGATATATCATTGGAATATCTGTTTATATATCTTTTAATATACATTCAGCGGAATTCATTTATTATCTTACAGGTGTTCCTAAATACTATGAAGTATCAAATATATCTTTTGTTGATAAAATTTAGTTTATATAAATAAATAAATAATCTTGATAAATTAAATAATTTTAATTTTTTTTACCTGTAGTTAATTTTATATTGAAAGTAATAATTGATCCTATTATTTGTAAATAGTTAATGAATACTTTAATATAAACACTAGCTTTTTCTCCATTTCTAGATTTTCTATCTTTTTGGTTATCATATTTGACATTTAATTTAGATTAATATTTAGTCTCTTTTAATGAAGTGATTTGATTATTCTTTAATAAGTGGCTTTTCAGAGCTACTTAAAAAGCATTTATTGCTTATTCCTCTAAGTCTCCTTTTATGGCAAGTCGAATTGAAAATAAAGTCCAGATTACTATTAAGATTGCTTTCCATAATAAAGCACTCAATTCTTTACATTACCCACATTAATAAGATCCAACTTTAGAATAGCTTTCTCCCCAATAGCTTCCATAAATCTTATTAATTTTAAATTTATTGGTAAAGTAATATTAAAAAAATTGTATTTACATCACATTCTTCACATAGAGGTCCTATGTAACCTTCTAAGCATACTTAATTACCATAAGTATTTCCAATACAGTTTGAAGGCTTATTTACACACTCTATAACAAGAGGATTACTTTCATCTTTTCTCCAGAATCCTTAATTTACATATATAATTCCATTTTAGCATTTTGCTCCAGAAGGACATGAATAACATTATTGTTTATCGAGAGAGTATTTATCTTATTCACAGACAACACATTCTGTATATGTATTGTAAATATTCTGAATTTCACCATAATTACAACTTCTAAAATAAACTTCTAATTCATAAGAATAGTTAGACTCAAATTAATTAGTTTATTTATTTAAAATTTTTATAACATCAGATTTGAACTCAATTATTGCTTATGAATTTGGAATCCCTATTAATTACATACCTTAAAAAACAAATTATTTCTATTTTAAATCAACAAATGCTGCAGAATTTCCTCTAATGTAATAATTTGATATATTTTTTGTTTTGGTGCTAAATTATGCTTAAATTATTATTTTATCAGCATCTAATGGAAATATTGGTATAGCTGTTTAATCTTTTAGCTAAAAAATTATATCTGGAATTTAAGCTCCACTTTTAATATTTGATAAAATTAAAGAATTAGTTGACTAATTGAAGTATTTATTTAAATTTGTAGTCATGATTAAACCTAAATGATCAGGATATGAATTGATATTATCTCCATAAAGAGTGGCCTAGTTATTCAATATAATGCTTTAAGAGTCTATAACTGGATTTATACCTAGATTATTAATGCATCCTCCGATAACAGCATTGTTATTTGATAGATTTGTTTTATAAATTTTGATCTATTACTGTACTGTTGATTCACTTTCTGAGCTAATAAATAAAGCCCCACCACTTCCATTTAAAGATTGATTGTCAGTTATTTAGCAATTAGACAAAGTTAAAGTAAAAACCTATTAATTGTATGATTAAAAATTTTAAATTATTTAAAAAAAAGAAGTATTACATCATCTGTTTAGGCTTTTAAAAACATAGCTCCTCCATCTGATATGGCAGTATTTCCAATCATTTGAGTGTTTTATATATAATTAAGATTAGAAACCAAACCATTAATTGATATAGCACCACCGATATTGGCCTATTTTTAAATAAATATTTAAATTACATAAAAGCTTGTATGATATTAAATTATTTTAAATACTTTTGATTCTAAAAACATAGAGTCAGATATAAAAAATTGTGTTTAGTTCAACTAGAGTATAGAGCCAAAGCATAGCATGCAAATTATTTTCTAAAATATTGTTTATTATGATATTTATAATTTAGATTAATATAGTGATATAAGTGCTCCTGAATTTATCAGAGAAATCTAGGATTGTAATACTCGTTTTGAGGATATCTAATTTATGTTTATAAATTAAGATTCTTCAATTGTTAGAGATCCTTAATTGACGCTTATTAAGTATGTGGAAAACGTAGAGTCTTTAATTATTAATCTTTAAATTATAATACTTGTATTAATAGCATTAATTAGAAGAGGGGAAGTATTTTGTAAATTTGTTATAATTAAATTTTAAAATCCACAATCAACAATTGAAAGGATAGATTTTTAAAGTTAAAAAAATGACACTTATTAGATGTCAGAAAGCAATGTTATTTGATTCAAATAATCAGGATAGGTTTAGTTAAAATTATTATTATTAATATTAAAAAGAGTAACATTAGAATTTTAGGTATTCAAAAAATATGAGTTGGTCTAGCCTAAAATATTGGTTAACTCTCCTTCATAGAATAGAATCTAGCTTAATAAATTCTAATTTTCTGATTATCTGAATATTGATTAAAAAAAAAATTTAATATTATATTTAATTTTCATTATTTTATGGTAATAATTTTATGTTAATAAATATTTTTATCGAATCCATTGATTAAATGGGCACCTTGTGCTCATAAAAAAATCAAAATTTATAAAACACGCACTAGTTAAGCATAATTTAAAACCATTTTTATCTTAAATTAAAATAATTTACATTATTGAAATCGAGGAAGAATAAGAACTAAGTGTATAGATATTACTAAAGTTAGATGATTTACACACAAAATTTAAATTTGAGTTTTGTGAATTTATGTAAAATGCACCACCATCATTCTAAGCATAACCTTCTATAAATGAAGATTTTTCTATAAAAATATTTGTTTCTGAACTAAGACTCTCTAAGTAAATAAACGAGCCTTAGCTTGCTGTGGATTGACTAAAATTTGAAGAAAGAATTTACAAATTGTTTGATTTAGCTCTTAAGCAACCTCCTTATTATATTAAAGTTGTTACATTATCTGTGATATTAAATGAAGATTGCTTGCAATTAGCGTTAATGATGGTTATATTTTGACCAACTATATATTGAAAATTAATGATACTACTAGATACTGAATTAATATATTGGTTATTAACTAAATATATAGAACCTACTGGATTAATTGCCTGAATTGCAGAAGTTGAATAAGTTTAGGTATTAAGAATTGCATTTAATCTATTTTAGCTAAAAATTGAGTTTCTAATTATTATATTAGAAGTATAAGTGGAAGTAATTAAAATTGGATTAGCTTAGGAGCTATTTTAATTTTATTCAAAATATGAACTTGTGATAACTACTTTTGATAAATTTATTACTGAATTTCTATAAGCTTTATTTCTTATTACTAAAATAGAATTACTTATTGCTTTTATATAGCTTGATTATAGATTAGTTATGTTAATCTTTTTTACTTCATTGAAAATTAAACATCCACCATACTCTCTATTGACTAAATTATCAAAAAATTTTTTTTCATTTAAGCAAGAAATATTGCTAATTGAGACTAGAGAAGATTAGGATAATGAACAAAATGCTATTTCTTATTGGTTTTTTACTGTAACTTCAGTTATTAAAACTGAAAAAATTTGTTCAGTGAGAACTAATTAAGTAATTCCGAGGTAGATATCTGATTAAACTTAAGAAGAGGGAAAGTAAGAATTATCAGTGAAATTTAAATAACTCATATTTAAAGTGTGTTAGGGAAGAGGATTTATTGAATAAATAGCATCAAAAAAGAGATAATTGTGTGTTGTATAAAATGAGTTATTGTACATAGTTATATTCTAGAACTAAAATGTTTTATTTTTTTGTTAGATTGTGCTCACAGTTGAGAATATCTATAAATTACAAAACTGATTATTGGATATTGTCATATTAGCTACATTGAATTCACCAGCTTCAAATAACTAACCAGAGAATTGTGGATAGTAAGTTTAATTTATATCGCATAGATTACTTTAAATTATAAAAGTATCAATAATAACATTAACATCGCTCTCTTAGGTTAATATACTGAAATTTTCACTTAATTTACAGCTATCAATTAGAATATTTTAAAGTACAATCTATTTAATATAATAAAAATATTTCATTTTTAATTTACAGTTTAAAAAATTACCTATTAAGAATTATCGATTGTTATTAAAGTTGATGTATTTGAAAAATCTAAACTTTGTAAGTTTATATTTTTAATAGTCAACAAAGAATTATTTATTTAAATAAAAAAACAATCAGATGTACTATCTGTAGAAGATATACTTATGTTATCTATAGTAGCACTTGAAATAATACCATCGAAATAGACCCCACACTTTTATTAGGAGCTACTAATAATAAAATTAATAAGTATATCATCAATGTTTAGCATAAATAGACCCGAGAATTGGAGCAACTAATTTACATTAATTTAAGCAAATTGATTATTATTATTATTCCAGCTCTAAATTGTTAAATTTGTTTATGCAAAAACTTACAAAGTTAGCAGTTCATTGTAAAATACCATCTAATTTTAGTTGCTCACTAATATATTAACGTTTAGAATTTCAAATCCGTTTATTAATTCGAAATATTATTTAACCTAAATTTTAAATAGAAAATATTATTTTTAAATAGAAAAATACTTTGGTAAAATATTTATTTTAATCTAGAAATTTACTAAAAGTAAAGTTGAAATTATACTCAAAGAAGTTGTATAAGGCTATTCAAAAGAACCTATCCCATATATACTTTTAGTATCAGTTGTTTCAGTAGTATTAAAATAAAACTACATTTAGCATTTCTAAGTACAACTAGGCAAATTTTAAAGACATTATCCAATAGGGAAAAATGTATTACTATATTAATACTAAATAAATAAAACCTAAGTCTTTTCTATATACTGAATATTATTTCCAACATCTGCTAAAGAAGGAGACTGGAAATGCATAAATAATTCAAATTATTAAGTGACTGTATTAAAACTCCATAAATAAACATCTCCGCTATTTTAATCTCCAACTCCAAACATATTAATTGTATTGAATACATTTAAATAGTATGGATTTGACTTTAGTTTCATTAATGGTTTAAATATTTTATTAGAGAAATTATAGCTAATTAAATTGTAATTACCACAAACTATTATTAGAAATTTATTATTATCAGTATGAAATAATTAACCAATTATTGAGCCAGAACAATTGGACGCTTTTTTTTTTTAAATGAATAAATAAATAAAATAATTTTAAAAATATTTTATTATTATTTTTAAATTAATGAAAAAAAACTTTTAACTTGTTGGGATAGGATTTGATATTTCATTAGTTTGTTTTCATCTAAAATATAGCAAGATGCCATTAAAAAATTCCGTCGTTTGGAATTAACTTAAAATGAAATAGATTTTTTAATTATTTACTAAAAAATCAGATTTTTATATTTTATAATAGAATTAAAATTAATATTTTAATTTATTATAATTTCAAAAATACATAATTTTTTTACATCAAAATTTTTAAATTTAGCTAAATTTCCTGTAGCGGGGTAAACAAAATACAGGATTTTGGGGCAATTTCTGTAGCGATTAAGAATTTCTAAATTTTTCTTAAGAAAAAAAGAATGAATTAATCATTCATTCTAACATCAATGAAAATTTTTTTAAAACGGGGATATAGAAATTTCTACCCCACGATAAGATTTTGATGCAATTTTTGAAATTTGCAATCAAATTAAATTTTTTTGAAGAAAAATTTTTAAAAAAGGCTAAATTTAAAAATTTAATAGAAAAATCATAAAGATTGATATAAATTAAAATTATTAATATTATTAATTAAATTCTATTATAAAATTATTTATTTTTATATAAATCATATTCAAAGGCATCAACCATTCAAAAAAATAGTGATCTCAATTCACTAAATTTTTGAATGGCATTTTGCTATAAAATGAAATTAATTCCCATTTTGAATTTTATGTTTGATTTTATTGTAAGATTACCTATTGAGTATTTGAATGAAAAGTCTGTTGAATTCCAAACAAAAATACTTCCATTAACAGCTATTCCAACGATTTCTTAATCTTCTTAGGAATAGAGAGCATAACTTGTATTTTGATTATTTTCTTCTACTTTATTTGAGAGCAATTTAAACGATTATTAAGAGGAAATATTTATAGCATAAAATAAGAAATTTTCATTATGATTTTTTTAAGTTAATCCTACAATAACCCAAATAGCTTGATTAATATCTTAGTAGGGATCAATATTGAAGCTTATTGAACTAAAATCAAGATTTAACTAACTTAATTTGTATACCTGTTTTTATATTTATAATAACTTTAATATTTTTGATTAAGATAGAAAGAAAGAAATAATTACTTAAGGAGTGAATGATGAGTCCATTACTTTATAAAATGCTAAGTTTATGGTATCATGCATAGCAATAAAACATGTATTACAGTTTTTTACAGAAAAAAATGTATTTTATCTTTATTTGATACTCGAAAAAAGAGGATAAGCAAGGATAGATTTTAGATTACTTGGAGAATCTTTAGTGACTAAAATTTGATCATATGTAGCAACAGCAAAGTATATTTCTTAATTGAGTTAGAAACTAAATGTTTTTGTAAAATCTATAGAAGTAAAAGCTTAGGTTTTATAGTATAATGGTTAAAGTAAATTTATTTTTGAAATTTTATTTTTACCAAAACGAGTGAGCTAAGTGCTTGTACTATATGAATAAACAAATACAGCTGATTTTATATTTCTATAATAGCTGTATGGTGTTAAAAATTATTGACTTTCTTCCAAATGATACCATTCATAACTTAGATCTCCAGGTGGTTAAATAGTAAAAGGTTGATTGATATTAGCAAAGCTAAAAGAATCATATGTATTTGTTTTCTAATTATAGACAAAATTTAAATCTATTCTATAAATAGACTTCTTGGTACTTAGGTATAAACTGCCTTAATTATTTTTAGAATTTATAAAGGTTAAACTGATTATTTCATCTCCTGATGGACAATTTGGTAGATCTATTTTTTAAAATTTTAAGAAATTTATAATGAAAATTATTATTATTTTTAATCTACAATTATTCTGAATTCTTTTTATTTAATTTGATTATAAATTAATGATCTAGTAAGCCCTGATTTGACAATACTCTCCTGCTAAAAATATAATATCGTAACTCTAGTGGAAATCTATTAACCTATAATTACCATCTATAAAATAAAATAGAGTGAGATATTATTCTTTAAAAGACTTAAAAAATAAGTTATACAATTTGTAGAATAATATCCATTGAATGAGAATTCTAAAGTTTTAAAATCAATTGACCAAGTATAAGCACCAGTTACATCAATTACTACTATAAAATTCTAACCATTTTAAAGCTAAAGTAACTTTGCAGAAGTAATATGATTACTAGCGTCAGAATTAAAAGGTGAATTATTCAAAGTTAGAATTTATTTTCCTTCTACAAAGTCAACAACATATAATAAATATGTATAACTTCTTAAGACACAATAATTAGATCCTTCCATTAAATGCATACCTTTTAAATCACTGAATGGTAGTGTTTATTTAGCTTCAAGAGTATAAGGATCTGCATATATTAGCTATTATGAATTCAGAGCTAAAATTTGATTTCTTTATAGTACATACTCCATTTGAAATATAATGTATTTAGCTTTAATAAAATAAAAATTGTTTTAAAAAAGTATAAACTATTTATTTAAATTTACGTTAAACCACATTCACAATATTATCAATTTCACTAGAAATATCATTGTAATATACTATACTCTAAGTCTATATGTTAGTCACTCCATCATATTTATAAAGTATAGTGTTTATCAAAAGTATATTAGTGTTAGGTAACTTCAAATAATTAGAAGGAGTATAGCCGACTAAATATTTAGCCTCTGTTTTTAAAAATTTATATCATAATGTATTAAAATATTAATTTAATCTTACGGTACTACCTAGAAAATGCTTAACAAATTTAAGCATTTAAGTTTTGTATTGATTACAATAAGATTATGACTGTTAAATTCAAAGTAAAGAATGATTTACTCATATTAATAGATATTTCTTCAACCTTCTATTATTACTATTTTTAATTCAAATATGGGTTTTGAGATAAGATTATTGAATTATTTCGTGGATAGTTTTTTGAATAACTTCAAATGTTTATCGATTATTATTTTTGATGATTCTTATTCTTTTCTTTTACTATTTTTAATTCAAATATAGGTTTGAGATAAGATTATTGAATTATTTCGTGGAGAGTTTTTTAAATAACTTCAAATGTTGATTAATTATGATTTTTGATGTTTCTTATTCTTTTCTTCTTATATCTCAAATTTAGGATTTAAATGTACACTCCTATTATTGAAATTAATCTAAAAAAACTAAAAAATATTCTTTCAACCTTCTATTATTACTATTTTTAATTCAAATATAGGTTTTGAGGTGAGATTATTGAATTATTTGATGGGGTGTTTTTTAAATAACTTCAAATGTTGATTAATTATTATTTTTGATTTTTCTTATTCTTTTCTTTTATTTTTATATCTCAAATTTAGGATTTAAATGTACAATTCTTATATAGAAAAAACTAAAAAATATTTTTTCAACCTTCTGAGATATGATTATAGAATTATTTCGTGAAGAGTTTTTTGAATAACTTCAAATGTTTATCGATTATTATTTTTGATGTTTCTTATTCTTTTCTTTTACTATTTTTAATTCAAATATAGGTTTGAGATAAGATTATTGAATTATTTTGTGGAGAGTTTTTTAAATAACTTCAAATGTTGATTAATTATTATTTTTGATGTTTCTTATTCTTTTCTTCTTATATCTCAAATTTAGGATTTAAATGTATTATTGAATTATTTGATGGGGAGTTTTTTAAATAACTTCAAATGTTGATTAATTAATTATTATTTTTGATGTTTTTTATTCTTTTCTTCTTATATCTCAAATTTAGGATTTAAATGTACAATTCTTATATAGAAAAAACTAAAAAATATTCTTTCAACCTTCTATTATTACTATTTTTAATTCAAATATAGGTTAAGATTATTGAATTATTTCGTATAGAGTTTTTTAAATAACTTCAAATGTTGATTAATTATGATTTTTGATGTTTCTTATTCTTTTCTTCTTATATCTAAAATTTATGATTTAAATGTACACTTCTATTATTGAAGTTAATCTAAAAAAACTAAAAAATGTTCTTTCAACCTTCTATTATTACTATTTTTCATTCAATTTTGGTTTTGAGTTCAGATTATTGAATTATTTGGTGGGGAGTTTTTTAAATAACTTCATATGTTGATTAATTATTATTTTTGATGTTTCTTATTCTTTTCTTTTATCTACAATATATATCTACAAAGCTACCTCTAATAACAATAAAGTACTATCCTCAAAATTATTAATATAAAAAATTTAAAGTAATTTTTTTAAAATTATTTAAGTATAAAATAATTTTTACCATTTTAATTTTATAATTTTAAACTTTAATATCTCTTTAAAAAAATAATTCAAACATATATATTATTGATTCAGTAAATTCAAATTAATAAAAATTTGAATTACTGAATGCTTATTTTTAAATAGATTTTTGATAGCTTCATTAAATTAAATATATGTTTCTATAATTAAAAAAAAATTTTTCAATTCAAAATGAAGGTTACACTAATATATTAATTATGTTAAAAATAAAATGAATCAAGTAATTATTATAATATTTTAAAATTCATTTATAATCTTTAAAGAATAAATATTTAGAATCTTTTTTATATTTAATTTGTTTCATTCTTTTCTTTCTGTATCGAGATTAAATATGTTCTACTAAGAATCAAAATAATATTTTGACTTTCTTTTTCTATTCGTACTATCTAGGTTTTAGTTTACGTTATATATATTTATTTGAGATAATTATTGTTCAACTTTTTAGATGTTTTTACTGCTTGGTTGTGTAGATTATAAACTATGACTACCATTGTAAATGCTTTAAGAAAAAACAGAGTTCCTTTTTCTTCTATTTATTTACCAATTTATTTATTTTTAAGAATTAATTTGTGGCTGGCCTTGTACATTAGGAGTTTGGTAGATAATATTAATTGATTATATTGCTTCGTTATTATCTAAATTCTTATCCAGATTGTTATTATTAACTATATTTTAGTCTATTTTTTTGTTAAGTTATACAGGTGAGGATTTTAAGATAGCTGGTTATAACTAAGATTTACTCTTTTTATTTTTAATCTACATAACTAATGATTAAACAAATTAATAAATAGATACTATGAGATCTTTAATAATAAAAATATTAAAGTATGCTATTAAAAATCCACTATTAGCAACAATTATCCATCCAATTTTCATTCTTTTATCTTCGTTTTCATCTTAAATATCCTTAACTAATAATGAAACACAAATTTAAATAACTATCATTAAAACTTCCTAATAATCTACCACATCTGATAAAGATGCTTAACATCAATTTCATAGCAAAAATTTTAATTTTGATTAGCGAAAACACCTAATTTTTTGAACGAAAACTTTTCTTAGTTTTCTTAACAATATAATTCAAGATAAAATAATAATAGTAATTAACTAGAAAAGCTATCAATAGTGGTCAGAGAAATTGAAAGAACCCACTCTCCAACTGAATCATCATCAGGCATAGAAAATTTAGAAAAATAAGTAGAGGAATATATGGCTCAAGACAGCAATTCTGGTGATCAAACTAAATCACAATTTAATTTGAACTCTTCATTACAATCTTCATGTAAATTTATTTTTATAATATAGAGTTAGTAATTTTTTATTTATAAATAAAATAGCTTAATAATCTACTTAATATATTGCCAATTTAGGAAGCACATTAGGTAATTCAAACATAACTACTACCTAATAAATTAAATGAAAATTAAACTTTATAAATTTTAAACTATATATTTAAGTTTATATCATTCAAATTTAATTTAATTTAAAATGAATTATTTATAAAACTATTTTGAAAATTAAATTTTTAACTCAAAATAGTGGTTGATTTATGATATATTTGTTATGTTTCTATTATGTTAATTATTTATATATTAAATTAATTAAAAAAAACTGAACCCAAAATAATATTAAATATCAGTATATTTTTTGAAAAAAATAATATAATAAAAACATTTTAATTTTTTATATCGAAGTAATATTTCTTAATATTTTTATTTTAAATTCTATAAATAATATTCTTAAATAAAAATAATTAGTTTTTTATTTTACTTACAGAACAAATAAAGCTTAATATTTAATATAAATTTATTTTTAATAGGGAAAAATGAACTTTAAAATTGATAAATCTTTTTAGTTAAAAACTATAAAATAATATATATTATTAATATTATTAACATTTAATAATAATTTTCAGATATTTAAAGTATTATCTATTTCATATTTAGTAAAATAAATTAAATTATTATTTTTATCCACCTATTTAACAGAATTTAATTTTATTTATTCATTAGAGTTATCCTCTTTATCATTTTAACTCTCTTTCTAATCGATTGCTATATTTAATTCTTCGAATCCTAACATTTAATTAAAAAATTTAATGATTAAAAAAAACTATTATATATATTACATTAATAAAAGAGGAGATTAGTTTATCTCTCTACTATTTACAGTATTTGGGTTATTTTCATTATCTTTATCAAAGTAATCGCATTCAGAGTTTAATTTTTGTTAATTTTTAGTAGCTAAGTATTTTTGTTTAATTTTATTAATTTATTAGAGTTATCCTCTTTATCTTTTTAACTCTCTTTTTAATTACTTACTAAATTTAAATCTTCAAATTCTAATTAATATTTAATTAAAAAATTTAATGATTAAAAAAAAACTATTTAAAATATTACATAAAAAAATAGGAGATTAGTTTATTTTGCTGGTATATACAGTATTTGGGCTATTCATATTATCTTTATCAGAGTAATCGCTTTCAGAGTTTAATTTTTGTTAATTTTCAGTAGCTAAGTCATTTAGTTTATTTTATTTAATAGTCTAATTAATCTACTAATCTTTAAATAGTCTTTTATGATTTTACCTATAAATTAAATATAACAAATAACAAGAGTTTTAATACTTATTTATATCTTTAAGCCAGAGAATAAAAGATCATACTTTTGCTCTTTACTGAGATTTAAAAATTCTTAAAAAATCCTTTTTATTTTAGCTTTCAATTATGGATTTAATTTTTATTTTTGAAACTTTTGAGCAAGCAACTTTGTATAAGAAAATTTTTAGAAAAATGAAATAATAACATTCTTAAATTACATTAAAAGTCCTATAATAACTCTTTTAATTATTAAAATAGTAAACCAAGCATTGATTGTGATTATAGTTATAATAGAAGTCATTAAGTAATAATTGAAGGGATTATTGCTAATGAATAAACAAAGTAATACAGAAACTGCACACACGTTTGTTTGATATAAATCAACTGTATTGTACCCGCTCAAATGATAGGGTTATAAAACACTAGATGCTATCCCATAGAGAGAAATCATTATAAAAATTAGCACTCCTTTAACATTAGTTTCTTGGGAATAGAAGTTAAGAATTATAATGATTAAAATTTTTTCTAAAATTTTCACGAATTCCCAATAGTATTTTTGGCTTTTATACTCCCTGTATAAAAAGCCATATTTCTTATATACTTAAATGTTTTGCAAATCATTTTTATTTTTGTATAGTATATAAAAAAGTCCAATAGGTATAATAAAAGCAAACACTAATAAGCAAGGAGCTACTAAGGTAGAACTATAGGTTTAGTGCTGGCTAGTGTTGCATTCATAAGTTATATTATAGAGTATATAACTAGAATCTCCAATTACCCTGCATGAAAGTATAACTATCATTTGAGAAACTAAATCAGGCTAAACTAAAATAAATATAAAGATCGCAACAATAGAAATAGAATAATAACGAACTTTTATATTTGTAAATACCCTTTATAAAATTTAACTAAGTATAAACACCATTAAATAGCCAATTTGAACAATTAGAGTAAATATTAGTTTAAGATATATCATTGGTATATCTGTTTATATATCTTTTAATATACATTCAGCGGAATTCATTTATTATTCTTACAGGTGTTCCTAAATACTATGAAGTATCAAATATATCTTTAGTTGATAAAATTTTAAAAATTATTTTCATCTTAAAAAATTTAGTTTTTTAAATAAACAATCTTGATTGATAAATTAATAATTTTAAAATTAAAAAATTTTAATTTTTTTTAACTGTAGTTAATTTTATATTGAAAGTAATAATTGATCCTATTATTTGTAAATAGTTAATGAATACTTTAATATAAACACTAGCTTTTTCTCCATTTCGAGATTTTCTATCTTTTTGGTTATCATATTTGACATTTAATTTAGATTAATATTTTAAGGAAGTCCTTTGATTGATCTTTAATAAGTGTCTTTTCAGAGCTACTTAAAAAGCATTTATTGTTTATTCCTCTAAGTCTCCTTTTATGGCAAGTCGAATTGAAAATAAAGTCCATATTACTATTAAGATTGCTTTCCACAATAAAGCACCCAATTCTTTAAATTACGCACATTAATAAGATCCAATTTTAGAATAACTAATTCCCCAATAACTTCCATAAATCTTATTAATTTTAAATTTATTGTTAAAGTAATATTTAAAAAGTTGTATTTACATCACATTATTCACATAGAGGCCCTATGTAACCTTCTAAGCATACTTAATTACCATAAGTATTTCCAATACAGTTTGAAGGCTTATTTACACATTCTATAACAAGAACACAAATGGGAAATTAAAGTTTTTAAACAGCTCATAAAATTTCATTATATTTAAAGGAAATCTAATCTTTAAAAACATAAGATAGTATAAGAAACTGGTGATATCAAGGGTGTTACAGACATATAAAAATTTCCAAAAAACACAGAAAGTACAATAGATGATATCAAAGATGTAGATATTCCTTATCCTACATTAGCTATTTATTAAGCAGCCTAAACTTAAGATTAAAACAAATACACATAGGGAATAAGATCTTATGAATGTGTAACAACAGAAATAGAATTTTAATATCTAAAACTTTTGTCAACAATAGTTACATTTATTTTAGAGTTTTTTATGTTAATCGAGGGATTAATTAAAATGATTATAGTAGAATTTGATTATTATTATTAGGTCATGGTATATTGATCCTAAGTAAAACCAGAAATAGAAATACTGAATATACCTATTTTAATGGAAAAAAATAATGTAATAAAAACAATTTAATTTTTTTTGTCTTTGAAGTAATATTTCATAATATATTTATTTTAAATTCAATAAATAATATTCTTAAATAAAAATAATTAGTTTTTTATTTTACTTACAGAACAAATAAAGCTTAATATTTAATATAAATTTATTTTTAATAGGGAAAAATGAATTTTAAAATTGATAAATCTTTTTAGTTAAAAACAAAAAAATAATATGTATTATTAATATTTAATAATAATTTTCAGATATTTAACATATTATCTATTTCATATTCAGTAAAATAAATTAAATTATTATCTTTATCCTCTTGGTTAACAGAATTTAATTTTATTTATTCATTAGAATTATCCTCTTTATCTTTTTAACTCTCATTCTAATCCATTTCTATATTTAATTCTTCGAATCCTAATATTTAATTAAAAAATTTAATGATTAAAAAAAAACTATTATATATATTACATTAAAAAAGAGGAGATTAGTTTATCTAGCTGCTATATACAGTATTTGGGTTATTTTCATTATCTTTATCAATGTAATCGTATTCAGAGTTTAATTTGTGTTAATTTTCAATAGCTAAGTATTTTTTTTTTAGTTTTATTAATTTAGTAGTGTTATCATCTTTATCTTTTTAACTCTCTTTTTAATTACTTACTAAATTTAAATCTTCAAATTCTAATATTTAATTAAAAAATTTAATAATTAAAATAAAACAAATAAAAATATTACATAAAAAAATAGGAGATTAGTTTGTTTTGCTGGTATATACAGTATTTGGGCTATTCATATTATCTTTATCAAAGTAATCTCTTTCAGAGTTTAATTTTTGTTAATTTTCAGTAGCTAAGTCATTTAGTTTATTTTATTTAATAGTCTAATTAATCTACTAATCTTTAAATAGTCTTTTATGATTTTTACCTATAAATTAAATATATTAAATATAACAAATAAAAAGAGTTTTAATACCTATTTATATTTTAACACCAGATAATAAAAGATCATACTTTTTCTCTTCACTAAGATTTAAAAATTCTTAAAAAATTCTTTTTATTTTAGCTTTCAATTACGGATTAAATTTTTATTTTTGAAACTTTTGAACAAGTGACTTTGTATAAGAAAATTTTTAAAAAAATGAAATGATAACATTCTTAAATTACATTAAAAGTCCTATAATAACTCTTTTAATTATTACAATAATAAACAAAGCATTGATTGTGATAATAATTATAATAGAAGTGATTACATAATAACTGAAGGGATTATTGCTAATGAATAAACAAAGTAATACAGAAACTGCACACACGTTTGTTTGATAGAAATCAACTGTATTGTACCCGCTCAAACGAAAGGGTTATAAAACATTAGATCCTATCCCATAGAGAGTAATCACCAAAAAAATTAGCACTCCTTTAATATTAGTATCTTGGGAATAGAAGTTAAGAATTATAATGATTAAAATTTTTTCTAAAATTTTCACGAATTCCCAATAATATTTTTGGCTTTTATACTCTCTGTATAAAAAGCCATATTTCTTATATACTTAAATGTTTTGCAAATCATTTTTATTTTTGTATAGTATATAAAAAAGTCCAATAGGTATAATAAAAGCAAACACCAATAAGCAAGGAGCTACTAAGGTAGAACTATAGGTTTAGTGCTGGCTAGTGTTGCATTCATAAGTTATATTATAGAGTATATAACTAGAATCTCCAATTACCCTGCATGAAAGAATAGCTATCATTTGAGAAACTAAATCAGGCTAAACTAAAATAAATATAAAGATCGCAGCAGTACAAATAGAATAGTAACGAACTTTTATATTTGTAAATAGCCTTTATAAAATTAAACTAAGTATAAACACCATTAAATAGCCAATTGGAACACTTAGAGTAAATAGTAGTTTAAGATATATCATTGGTATATCTGTTTATATATCTTTTAATATACATTCAGCGGAATTCATTTATTATCTTACAGGTGTTCCTAAATACTATGAAGTATCAAATATATCTTTTGTTGATAAAATTTAAAAAATTATTTTCATCTTAAAAAATTTAGTTTATATAAATAAATAAATAAATAAATAATCTTGATAAATTAAATAATTTAAATTTTTTTTACCTGTAGTTAATTTTATATTGAAAGTAATAATTGATCCTATTATTTGTAAATAGTTAATGAATACTTTAATATAAACACTAGCTTTTTCTCCATTTCGAGATTTTCTATCTTTTTGGTTATCATATTTGACATTTAATTTAGATTAATATTTAGTCTCTTTTAATGAAGTGATTTGATTATTCTTTAATAAGTGGATTTTCAGAGCTACTTAAAAAGCATTTATTGCTTATTCCTCTAAGTCTCCTTTTATGGCAAGTCGGATTGAAAATAAAGTCCAGATTACTATTAAGATTGCTTTCCACAATAAATTACTCAATTCTTTACATTACCCACATTGATAAGATCCAACTTTAGAATAGCTTTCTCCCCAATAGCTACCTTAAATCTTATTAATTTTAAATTTATTGGTAAAGTAATATTTAAAAAATTGTATTTACATCACATTCTTCACATAGAGGTCCTATGTAACCTTCTAAGCATACTTAATTCCCATAAGTATTTCCAATACAGTTTGAAGGCTTATTTACACACTCTATAACAAGAGGATTACTTTCATCTTATCTCCAGAATCCTTAATTTACATATATAATTCCATTTTAGCATTTTGCTCCAGAAGGACATGAATAACATTATTGTTTATCGAGAGAGTATTTATCTTATTCACAGACAACACATTCTGTATATGTATTGTAAAAATTTTCAATTTCACCATAATTGCAACTTCTAAAATAAACTTCTAATTCATAAGAATAGTTAGACTCAAATTAATTAGTTTATTTATTTAAAATTTTTATAACATCAGATTTGAACTCAATTATTGCTTTTGAATTTGGAATCCCTATTAATTACATACCTTAAAAAACAAATTATTTCTATTTTAAATCAACAAATGCTGTAGAATTTCCTCTAATGTAATAATTTGATATATTTTTTGTTTTGGTGCTAAATTATGCTTAAATTATTATTTTATCAGCATCTAATGGAAATATTGGTATAGCAGTTTAATCTTTTAGCTAAAAAATTATATCTGGAATTTAAGCTCCACTTTTAATATTTGATAAAATTAAAGAATTAGTTGACTAATTGAAGTATTTATTTAAATCTGTAGTCATGATTAAACCTAAATGATCAGGATATGAATTGATATTATCTCCATAAAGAGTGGCCTAGTTATTCAATATAATGCTTTAAGAGTCTATAACTGGATTTATACCTAGATTATTAATGCATCCTCCGATAACAGCATTGTTATTTGATAGATTTGTTTTATAAATTTTGATCTATTACTGTACTGTTGATTCACTTTCTGAGCTAATAAATAAAGCCCCACCACTTCCATTTAAAGATTGATTGTCAGTAATTTAGCAATTAGACAAAGTTAAAGTAAAAACCTATTAATTGTATGATTAAAAATTTTAAATTATTTAAAAAAAAGAAGTATTACATCATCTTTTTAGGCTTTTAAAAACATAGCTCCTCCATCTGTTATGGCAGTATTTCCAATCATTTTAGTGTTTTATATATAATTAAGATTAGAAACCAAACCATTAATTGATATAGCACCACCGTTATTGGCCTATTTTTAAATAAATATTTAAATTACATAAAAGCTTGTATGATATTAAATTATTTTAATCACTTTTGATTCTAAAAACATAGTGTCAGATATGAAAAATTGTGTTTAGTTCAACTAAAGTATAGAACCAAAGCATAGCATGCAAATTATTTTCTAAAATATTGTTTATTATGATATTTATAATTTAGATTAATATAGTGATATAAGTGCTCCTGAATTTATCAGAGAAATCTAGGATTGTAATACTCGTTTTGAGGATATCTAATTTATGTTTATAAATTAAGAATCTTCAATTGTTAGAGATCCTTAATTGACACTAATTAAGTATGTGGAAAACGTAGAGTCTTTAATTATTAATCTTTAAATTATAATACTCGTATTAATACCATTAATTAGAAGAGGGGAAGTATTTTGTAAATTTTTTATTATTAAGTTTTAAAATCCACAATCAATAATTGAGAGGATAGATTTTTAAAGTTAGAAAAATGACACTGATTAGATGTCAGATAGCTTTGTTATTTGATTTAAATAATCAGGATAGGTTTAGTTAAAATTATTATTATGAATATTAAAAAAAGTAACATTAGAATTTTAGATATTCAAAAAATTTGAGTTGGCCTAGCCTAAAATATTGGTTAACTCTCCTTCATAGAATAGAATCTAGCTTAATAAATTCTAATTTTCTGATTATCTGAATATTGATTAAAAAAAAAATTAATATTATATTTAATTTTCATTATTTTATGGTAATAATTTTATGTTAATAAATATTTTTATCAATCCATTGATTAAATGCGCACCTGGTGCTCATAAAAAAATCAAAATTTTTTAAGTGCCAATTTTTTAAATTTTTGATTTGCTCACTAGTGCGCATTTTTACAAAGTTACCATTTTTATCTTAAATTAAAATAATTTACATTATTGAAATTGAGGAAGAAAAAGAACTAAGTGTATAGATATTACTAAAGTTAGATTATTTACACACAAAATTTAAATTTGAGTTTTGTGAATTTATGTAAAATGCACCACCATCATTCTAAGCATAACCTTCTACAAATGAAGATTTTTCTATAAAAATATTTGTTTCTGAACTTAGACTCTCTAAGTAAATAAACGAGCCTTAGCTTGCTGTGGATTGACTAAAATTTGAAGAAAGAATTTACAAATTGTTTGATTTAGCCCTTAAGCAACCTCCTTATTATATTAAAGTTGTTACATTATCTGTGATATTAAATGAAGATTGCTTGCAATTAGCGTTAATGATGGTTATATTA